CATATTAACTCAAAGGTGCACCGTTCATAAACAGGTCAAGCTTCTGCCCACGCTGCTGTGCTAATTGTCAGGGCTGGAAATGAAATGATCGACTGTGACCTTGGAGCTTCTACGTCAGCTGTACATATGACGGTGTTAAAGGGACAGTTCACCAATGGACTGGTTTGTTCAACAGAAAGAAACTGAAATAGGTTTGAGCTTATGAAAGGTTTGATCCACTGGAGAATGAGTAAATGGGGAGTGCATTTTTAGTTTGTCAGTGTCAATAAGCCATCATAACCATTTTAGATTTTCACTGACAGAGATGATAACAAGCAAAAAAATTGTCATTTCAAGGATCTAAATAATTTCATTTACTGTTGTTTTTTCTATATACTTAAGGCTGAGCTGATGTTTGCATTATAACACTCTTTAATAAGTCAGGGTTGAAGCAGTGGCGCAGTAGGTAGTGCTGTCGCCTCACAGCAAGAAAGTTGCTGAGTCGAGCCTCGGCTCAGTTGGCGTTTGCATGTGTGGAGTTTGCGAGAAGTACCCGGATGACTTACTACTTCCGGCGAAATTCTGGAGTGCGCATCTCATGCACGCTGCGCTATCCCATGATGCCCCGTGAGCGAATTCATAAATAGGAGTGAAGCGATGCAAATTACGCAGGTAGGTCACGTGACCAAGACAAAATGGCGGATGTAGTACGTCCGAATTCCATTCATACTTTTCACATTCATACTGTATAGAACGTACTTTTCTAACGGCCTAGTAGTATGTTTAAATTCAAATGCAGTACCTACTGAGTAGTAGGAGGATTCGGACGCAGCTTATGTGTTGAAAGCACTGCTATTCACGTATACAATAGATTTAGGAATAGAAATGAGGGTGAAACATTAAAAAGTTAAAAAAGGACACCCTTTTAAACTAAATCTATCGATGTCCAAAAAGAAACACAAAGATTAATACTGTGATCGAATGAAACGTTGACCTACATTTTTACTAAATAATTCATTTACAACAAAGTCATTAAAATAAATCATCCTCTCAAGTTTCTAGACTTTCAGCGTGAGAAGTTCATGAAAATCCAGATGGATCAAGAAACAGCCAATTGGGCAAAAAAGACAGCACTTTTTGGTAGGAAAAGAAGCGGGACGAGGGTAAGGAAAAGATATAATGAGCCCACATGGAGAAGAATTGGACCTGCGATGTTTTGGCAGAAGCAGATGACACCATTCTGCCAGTGGAGTATGTGTTGAGAAGTGGATGTGGGGAAAAAACGACTACAAATCTCCATCTTGTGACCCCAACCTATTTTCCACTCCTATTTCACAGGTCAATATGGCTTAGGATTAAACTATATTGCAATTTTTATGGCCCTATGTGTTTGCTGGTTTTGGCATGTTCAGCTTGTTATATAGGTCAGAGGAAACACGTTCACAATCAAAACTCCATCCGCACATTCAATCATTAACTTTTACACACTGACATAACAGTCCATACCGGCTGGCCTATAAATGGAATAAGACTGTACGTGTCTCTAGGCGAAACGCATAAAAACATGCCTCTATCACCACACATCTAATACCAAAACAAATATACAGCGCTGTGCTAAGGTCTTAGGACAACATCAGCATGATTGCCTATGAATTCTGCATGGCGCTGTAAATATTTATCCCTATTTAATTGTAAGTCTGACCAAAAATTCAATATTCGATACCATTACCTGGTTTTTGTTACTAAATACAGTATCAAAGCAAAGCACAAAAAAACATGCTAGTCCAACACACTACACTAACTGACAAAAGTCTTGTCGCCCATCCAAATTTTAGGAGCACCAAATAATAATTTCTAGTTAATTATTTGGTGTCTGAAGTGGCTTATATGAAAGACAAAGGCCTCTAGATTATGTTTATTTTGCCAAAATAAAAGTTGATCATGCCTTGATTTTTTATTATTTCATTAGGACAGTAAGGTCTGACTTTGCTTAGACAAAAGTCGTGTCACTTATCAGAAATAATGTACAGTATAGAATCTAAAGTCATGGTGCAGTGGAAAAATAATGAGTATTGTGTATGACTTCCATGAGCTCCCATGGCAAAGAAAGCGTTCTCGCAGGACTCCCACAGTTTATCAAGATTCTTTAGATTCACCTTCAATGCCTCCTTCTTCATCCTACCCCATACATGCTCAATAATGTTCTTGTCTGGTGACTGGGCTGGCCAATCATGACCTTTGCTTTCAGGAACTTTGATGTGGAGGCTGAAGTATGAGGAGCGCTATCCTGCTGAAGGATTTGCCCTCTCCTGTGCTTTGTAATATAATAGGCAGCACAAATGTCTCGATACCTCAGGCTGTTGATGTTACCATCCAATCTGCAGATCTCTCGTATACCCCCATACTGAACGTAAACCCAAACCATGATTTTTCCCTCACCAGACTTGACTGATTTCTCTGAGAATATTGGGTCCATGCGGGATCCAATAGCTCCAATAACTGCAGTATTTGTGATGATTGGGATGCAGTTTAATAGATGATTAATCTGAAAAAATTCTACCTTCTGCCACTGTTTTCCAAAAGAAATCAAATTTTTATTTGTTGCTCTTACAACTGGGACCTATGAGAAAACTTTTGTCAGGTAGTGTATTTTTATGAAGAAAGTTAACAAAGTTATTAGAAATAATTATAGAGAGAAAATAAAAAACACATTTTAAGTTGTGGTAAAGTTCTTTTCCAGAACAAGATAAAAAGATGATGTACAGTAGAAATCAGAATGAATAAACTCCATTTCAAATGTTTTTCTTGTTTTTTAATATTTCCTAAATGATGTTTAACAGAGCAAGGAAATTTTCACAGTATGTCTGATAATATTTTTTTCTTCTGGGAAAAAGTCTTATTTGTTTTATTTAGGCTAGAATAAAAGCAGTTTTTATTTTTTTAATAACCACTTAAAGGTATTAGACCCCCTAAAGCAATATTTTTTTGATAGTCTACAGAACAAGCCATCATTATACAATAACTTGCCTAATTAACCTAGTTAAACCTTTAAATGTCACTTTAAGCTGTATAGATATGTCTTAAAAAATATCTAGTAAAATATTATATACTGTCATCACGGCAAAGAGACAATACATCAGTTATTAGAAATGAGTTTTAATAAAACTATTATGTTTAGAAATGTGTTGAAATAAATCTTCTCTCCGTTAAACAGAAAATGGGGAAAAAATGAACAGGGAGCTAATAATTCTGATTGTAGTGCAGAATTACTTTAAAAAAACTGTTAAAACTGCACTTTAAATACAACATAGGCCTAAACATCTAGTATCTGGTTCAAGATGCAAGTCAAGAGAAATTTAAATTGATTATTTAAACTGGAACTACATCTCTCATTTGATCCCCAAAAACGTCAATATTTAGTATGAAAACAAAGGGGGCTTTGCATAGTACATTTTAATGATAATTTGGATTTCACAATGTAAATATTGTTAAAAAAGTATTCCTATCATAGTGGGAACAGTATTCCTATCATAGTGGGATTTCAACTTTATTATGACACCTTACAAAATTTTCAATGCTACAGGGAAAGGCCACAATCAATTTCAAATTTAATCTAAAGTTTAAAACAAACAAATGAGGTGGTCTTTTTGTTATAATAACCAGGCCCGGATTGTCTAATCAGGAGGATCGGGAGAATTCCCGGTGGGCCGGTCTGTTTTTTGGCCGCGAGGGCCGGTGTCCCTAGCTGCTTGCACTCTCAGCAGTCACACTTTTTTCTTCTATTTATTTATTTGACCATAGCTTCACTCTTTTTATTCATTATTTTGCCGCAGTGCAGCTCTTTTTTATTTATTTTCTCGCAGCCCCGTAAGAAAAATGCAGCCTGCAGGTTAACTAACGTTAATGATGATGATGTAATGCAACTATCGACACCAAACAGCGGCACCTTCAAGAATATAAGAATTCCAATAAAATGAATATTACACCTGCTCAATGAAAATTAAATGATTCACTACATTAATAAATCTGACATAACTTGATCAGAAATCTAAAAATGGGAGAAAAAGATTGAGCCATCAAAAGAAAGTAGTGCTGTGTCTTAGGGGTCGCAAGTCATTAGTTATTTTTTACTCTCATTGTAATAGTGCCATTGTGGTCCAGTGGTAAGCACGTTGCGTTTCAGTGACGTGGACCCATGTTCGAATCTCCCCTGAAATTTTTTTTTTATTTTTATTTTTTATTGTTAAGACATAAAATACTGTTAGGGCTGTTGAACATTTGAATTTCTAAAGCAGCAGTTTTCTTGAAAAAGACGTGATAGTGCCATTGGAAACTGAATTGGAATCAGTCGTGAACTGAGGTGGTCCGGTCTGGCTTAAACTCCAGGGCTGAAAATGAGTCCCACTCCAGCCCTCATAATAACAATTGCCATTTTAGAAAGGCAAACAACTACAACATAATAATAATAATATTAAGAAAGAAATGTATTAAATTATGATACAGATGCAAAAATCAGAATTACACCGGGAATTTTATGCTATTTGTAAAAGTCCTTAAGCATGGCTCTACATGTGGTATCTGTAATGGATTAAGATTTTCATTCAATTAAGGGTGATTTAGTTAAGTATTTATAATGATATGTTTCATTAGACCTTAATTTTTAGGATTATTTTAAGGTAAAATCATTAATTATGCAGGACACCAAAAAAGGGTGTCATCTTGTTGCTTTCTCGTTGTGTTTAAGTCTTACAGAAAACTATGCTTGTGTTGTAGATTACTTCAAAACTGTCAAAAGTAGAATGTTGGACTAGCAGTAATGCCCCGTTTGCTCGGAAAAGATAAAAACGTTTTAACCGTAAATTCTAACAAGGAAAGTCAAGATTGTAGGGAAAACCATTCTGTTAACAGCCCTAAATGGTCCTGAAGCAAAATATGTTCATCATCATATAATTTCTCCTTCAACCAGATGCCCATAGAAGCCTTGTTGTAAAGCACACATGCTCGTGTCATCTCTGCCTTACCTGGATGTAGCGGAGGGCACTTCTCAGGACACTCAGATTGGAGGTTTTCTTTTCATCCACATTAGGAACGTTCCTCTTGAGGGTCTCAAAACACTCTTTCAGATGTGCTCGTCTGGGACAGACAGAAAAAACACTGATTGTTCTTTTTCTCATGTTTTAGGACAGCAAATTAGAGTTTTAACATGTTTGCTATTGAAGAACCAGCTGTAAAATGTCAACAGGAGATTGTTTTGTAACATCTTATTTGCTACTATGGTTACTAGCAGGGCCTCTGAGCCAATAAAAACAAAATTGCGAAGCGAGGAAGGGTTAATGTGCTTGTGATCAGTCCTGCAGGTAAACGACTGACATTAAATAAGCTGAGTTCATATATGCTGCTTCTGTTTGTCGTAATAAACAAGCAGGAAAAAAACACACAAACAGAAGTTTACCCACCTGTTCTTTTCCAGCTTGTTATGAACTTCTCGAGTTCCGGCTCTGCAGGAAAGATATTGCACATTGTTTATAGACTGCATGTAAACGTTTATAAATCAATCGAGATATTTCATATGAGTCACTTGCATGTGTGTAGGAAGTTCACAGTAAAAAGTGGTCCACGAGTCTCCTGAATCCGAATGGTAACTTTAATGAACAACAAAGCAAAACATCACTGAAAATTAGGGGCGCAGCACTACATTGATTTGCAAGAGATAAAATACATCTAGACTGGTGTGTTCTCGCCGAATAAACCCCCACTGATTATTCAAGACTGAAGGGCTTTATTCTGTGAAAACAACTGCCTAGATGTAAATTAGCCATTTATTACACAGCTACTTGACACAAAATTAAACAGTTAGAAAACACTAATCTGAGCTGTAATCATTTATTCGCTATTTAATTAAACGTAGACAGAAAAATGGCTGAATGGAGAATACACTAACCTATGGACAGTCACAAGATGATGCTAAACAGTCGAGAATAGCAGAGTGAAAATAAGCATGCAAATGTATTTGAACACACTCATTATCTGGCAAGATAATTTGTAGTCTGTGTATGAGCCTGTGCTATTAACATAAATGCTGGTTATGGGAATACCATTTTACGAAATGTTGTGATTCACAATCACAATCAAGTACTTCAAAGTGCCGCATAATATAAATCAATACAACTACTGCTCCACTACTGCCAGCCACATAGCGCTTCAAGTAGCGTTAGAGAACGTGCACAGAGATAATTTTTGCTCACGTTTATTGTTGACGCTTAACATCTTGTAAATAAACAAAGGCCACAGATGCGCAAAACAGCGGGCGTAAAAGTGTCATTGTTATAAAAATGCCTTGGGGTTATTGGTTTGATGCGCTGTGTTAAAATTGGTCAACTAATGAGATTGGAGTGTTTGTTCGCGTGCCTTAAGCTGCTGAAGTTGCTGTAAAACACGAATTGGTGGCGCTCACGCGCAAAACAGTCTAGCAGATAACACGAGAATTGCAGATCAAATAGAATTTGATGAGTTTCATTTCACTTCATTTTATTGTACAAGACTTTTTCAAATAAACGTTTGACCAGGGGCCTCATGTATCAACGCTGCGTACGCACAAAAACTTTGCATATCCCAGGTTTCACGCTAACGTTTAGATTTACTAACGATGAAATTAATGTGAGAATGTTCTTTGGTCCACGCCAACTTCACGCCTGGCGTATGTGTACTTCTTGTGTGTGTTTGTTTTATTTCCATTGGCGACTCCTAGTGGCAGTTGTGTTAAATTGCACACTACAAATGGGACGAGATCATCTGCATGTCTAGCAGGTATATAAGGTTTCCATACCATATAGTTGACCAGCCAAACATTAAAGCTCAACTTGCAGCGGTCGCCGTTTTTCCCAATGCATTCGGAGTGATCGACTACACGCACATTGCTATAAGGGTGCCATCTGAAGACGAATTTGCAGACGTGAATCAGAATCATTTCCATTTAATAAATCTGCAAATAATATGTGATGCTCAAATGCGCTTAACATAATACACACACTTATTAATAATTCCTACTTGTGTTCCTCGTGATGAAGAGTAGGCAAAATCTGATATGTAGTGGGGGAAAGAAGAATGAGTTCATCAGACGCTGCATTCGAACCGGGATCAGGAATGATAGTGTCAAAACATGATGTCATGCGCGTTACGAGCTATGCCACTCACGCTGGTGATGTCCGCCCTCTTTAGCTTTGTTGTCTCTGTCGGTCAAACGGGCAGAAATCACTCAATTAGCTCATTTCAATGACAAACTTGCAAATAACACCGTTTTTCTCCGGTCTACCTCCGATAGGAGCACTTCCAATTCACACTCTGTTCAAAGTTTCTCTTTTTGCTTGCTTTTGCCATTGTTTTTTCGTTTGGTTTTGCCAAAGTAGAGTCATTAGCATATTCATACGGGGGAGGAGGCAGGGAGGGGTTTTGCGCTCGTGCACGTGCGCTCAGTTTCACGTTTATTCGGATGTACAAAGAGAATATGCGAGGGATTCATACATCAGAATATTTTACTGCATACGCACATTTACAGCTTTGTGCGTACGCAATATTTTAGTTTGAATTTAACGCAAGTCTTCGTACATGAGGCCCCAGGTGTTTTTATGCTGTATAGGAGGAGGGTAAACAAGTGGAAAAGCTTACTTTATAAATACTTGAGGAAAACCATGAGGGTTACATCACTTCTGTGACAGTGAGTGTCAGAAATGTAGGGTTGTGTAGCGCCGCCTTGTGTACCGGGGGTTTTCTGTCTTTCATTAAGTACCATCTAACGCCAGAGAGTGGTTTTGCACGTTCACTCAAAAATCATCCCGGTGTGCATGAGCCTTTAGTCTGCGCATTTTTGTCAGTGCACAAATTCCCAAATGTAACAACACAGTAGTGTAGCAGCGCAAAACATAAAGAATTTCTATTGTCTGAGAAGATGGATTTGAACATGTTTCAATTTGTACATATTTTGATAGAAAAAATTAACAAAAACGTGTAAATGGACAACGTGTAAACATTGTAAATACCAGTTAAAAAATGCAGGAAACGTCCACAACTATACAGTACCTTAAATTTGGTTGGTTCCTGATGAGGATTTGCACATTATATTACATTATTGTTTTCATTTATTGATTTTGTTTATTTAAAAAAAGCTAAATTTGTGGTTTAATGTTGATGTTTTTTATTTTGTTTGTCATTTATGAATGTATACAAAGTCAATTTGTTTGTGTAGAATGTGTCTTGAGTTTACCACTGAATCACTGTGCAATGATTAAACTGAACTGCACTGAAGAACTTCATGTTGCTTCACAACTTTTTGCTATTTGTTCCTCAATTTGAATGTAGTTGACGACAATAATCAGCTTTAGTTGGTTGCCACAGCAATTTTGCAAAGAAAGTTACATTAAATTTCCAAATGCGTACAATAAGCAATGCAGATGTGAAGATGAGTTTACATCATTTATATATACAACGTTTACTGTGAACAAGACACTGAAAACAGCAGACCATGAGAAGGAAATCATCACACTTCACACCTTTTAATTGTAGACAAGAATCAGCATTGCAAATTTCATTGACACTGACAGACCAACCACAACACATTTTCATGATCCTTTGACTTTCGGGGAGCTTTCACACTTAGTTCAATTGACCATTCGCTATGCCAGACCCAAAAACCACCATCCACCAATCGTGGCTTAGCTACCGTAGCTACGATATTTTTTTTTTTTTTCGCTCGATATGAACACTGCTCCCTTTAAGCCCTCGCCATAGTAGTCATACTAATAGCAATCATATTTCTATCTGTTTCAAGCTACAAATATTTGAAATTACTATAATAGATTTGTTTTTCTCCTACGTGCCCAGCGACATTTAAATAAGTGGGCGTGGGAAACTTGCATGCAGAGGAGATGAACCCGAGCAACACACTACATTGAGGGAAATGCTGAGAGCTTGTCAAAAACAGTATTGTGTTTACTAGGGATGCTCATTTCGGTTAATTTTGCTAACTGACAACCGCCGCTCATTAATCGGTTATTAACGGTTAACTGGTCAGATTACTATTAATTTTATATTAAACAAATTGACGTGTCTATTTTGTGTCCGACACATTAAATATTGCATTTTAAAATACTGATTTATTTTTATATGCTAGCATATTAATAATAGAACATAACAACAGAGCATTTTCACGCACCTGCAGTGTTTAGCACAGAAGAGCAGAATAAACTAAATAAAATGAATAAAATAAATAGGACTGCCCTAAATTATTTTCACTTAAATAATTAATTTTTATTACAAAACGAAAATACTGACTGATTCTTTTTAATAACCGGCATATGCTGTTTTTTTCCCAATCATATGTTTTTTTCTTCCGTCAAATAAAAATCGCAGACTTCCTCAAATCGCTCGCTCCATGGAAAATATGCATTTATTTAATGCCCCGCTGTTATTATTATTATAAATCACAAAACCTTTTACATTTTTAATAGAAATCATTATTTTAAAGATTATGTCTTGATATATGGTTTCCACTCTCTCCCTCGCGGTTCAAGTGCGCGCTGCGTGATGAAAAGACAACGACAACGTGCGCATATGTTGACTTTTTGTAAACAGTTTTGTTGTTTAAATATGATATTGCATTAATGTGCATACATGCTTAATAAGCTGTAAAATAAAAGGTAAAGCCTATTTGTTGCGTTTATGACGCAGATCCAGGTCAACATCAGCGCTGGTTTGGCATCAACACGTCTGTTAAACAGCATATTCTTCTTTCATTTTGCTTCTTTGGCAAATGTGTCTGTAGGCACGGGTTATACGTTATCGTCCCGCAAGTTAAGCATGTCTTGCAGTTGAACAAGTGGCCAAAAACAAGGCGCATCTCACTGCCTTTATGTTGACAAGGAAAAAAAAAAAAGAGAAGAAGCGCGGTCCTCTTATGAAACGACTGAATCAGCTGGGTATCGATTGTGCAAAAGTGTGGCTGTCTGTGTTGTTACAATTGTAATATTTAATACTATTGTGATATTCAAAATTTGTACATTCATACTGCTCTGAATAACTTAAAACAGCAACTCCAGCAAGATAGAGTGATTATATGCAGAGCCATATACCTTTATCTATAAATAAAGTATAACTATAAAAACTGTGTTCATCTTAACTGAAAACTGTGTTTGCTGGCCTCACGCATCGCGCACCTGTCAGTCAGTCAGTCAGCACGTAACGCCAAAGGGTTAAACAGATAGCGCACAGCACTATACGGTTACAGAAAAGCTTGCGCTGTTATGATTCACGTACCTTTTAATACGTTTTGGTGCGATTTTAATCCGCTAGTAAAAACAACAACAACGACTGAATGATTTGAAAGGGTAATGTAGCCGTGGCGGGATGCATTTTGGTCCCCGCCATGGAAGAATGAATGTAGCGGAAACCAAGCTCTTTAAAAGTTCTCTGTAGTTGTCTTGACAACACAAACTGCTGCTCTGGGATGAGTCGCGTGCAAAAGATGCCCCTCTTAACGCAAAGGCGCATTCAATCGGCCCCTTATGCAGCCAAACTAAAAATATTTAAAATAATAATTTTAATCGTTTAACTGATAGCATTAATCGGGTACAAACGCACCCTTTCGGTT